TTTTTCAACCTAGTAGCTTCAGAAATTCAATTTTACTATTTTAGCCAATAGCAACCAGGCTATGGAGAATTGCTCCACACTAACCAAATACAGGAGATTGATTTATTTAAAAAAATACTTTGTTTATATAAAACGGTATTTCTTTACTAGAATACAGTTATCTGTAAGGTCTGTGTAGAAAACATGCTCTGTTAGGTTCATTGTTATATCCCTAGGGTTTAGAAGATTAATTTTTGAATTATTACATTAATAACTTTTTAGTTTACTTTTAATGGGTCTAAGTCATTTGGGAGATTACATGAGTATTCAGTGTTACTGATAGATTTTTAAATGTCTACTTAGAGAATACTTAGTAGTAATTGTACTTGATTTAATATCCAATTTATTAATATTATGAATTTAGTAAATAGTATTTCATTACAATTAACCAATTCTTTTCAAAATATCCATACAAATGTCACATACCAATAAATTAGGATATGGATTAAATTAAATTTTCCATGGCTTTTAAACATTGGTTCAAATTTTATATAATCAAATTCTTCCTAAAGTATTATAACATGACAATTTGTCTTAAATGCTTTGGCCATTTTTAAAGAAAAAAATACACATATTACATTAATCCCACAGACTATCATATGCTTACCCTAAAACTGGTTAATAATATGGTGATACTAGGAATTTACATTTCTTTTTATCTTTATTCTTATTACACTTTGTTGACATGGAAATTTTCATATTTCCCTAGGATTTCAAAGATATCTGAAACTATTTCAAAGCTTTCTGAGATTTTCCTAAGATTTAATAACCATGCTAGAATTAAAAGAAAAGTCATCTCTTAAACATGCACATTCTGGGTTTTTAATTAGAAAATTTTTGTCTAGTCATTGGAATTTGCTATACATTCAGAGATCTTCAGTTTGAGGATACTGGCCATCAGGTTGGACTTTATTTTTACAATTAAAATCTACTTGTTATATGCCCTTATGCCTTTACTTATTTATTTAAGTTCAAGCCTAGCTTTTAATTTTGTGAAATACTGGTGTTTCCTCTCAAAATGGTTTATTTTTTTAAATCCAAATTGTGTTACAAAACAGTTTCCCTATTATTATGATATATAGGTCTGGTGTATGGACATTATTAAAAACTCATGCACTTTCGTTATTACATCTTTATTATGTAGAGCTATCCAACTTTTTATCTTCTAGGAGATGAGAGACTATTTCTGCTTAGTTACTACTTCTAGATATTCCACTAATTTATCAAATGTTTGAAACACACAGTTGTGCCCTGTTAGATACAGGGTATGATCATTAGTGTTAATTAACTGCTGGACTCCTTTTCCATTTGGTTATTATGTGTGACCCATCAGAACTGATCAATATTTTCTATTCCTGGTACAGAATTACTTTTGATGCTGCTACTTTGATGTTTACAGGTCTCTCCTTAAAACAAATGGAAAGACATATATGTCATCTTATTATAAACATACAGTTAGAAAAACAAAATATATTAACTATTTATTGGAAAACAATAGAAATTAAAGAAATTTTACCCTTTGTGGTTTTTTGTATGAGCACCTCTATTTTTTTGTTTAAAGTTTTTATTTAAATTCGTTAGTTAACATATGGTAATACTGGTTTCACTAGTAGAATTTAGTGATTCATCACTTACGAATGACACCCAGTATGAGCGCCTCTTCATATCCTTCACGTCAACATTTCTATTTGAGTACTATGAACTCTTAGCCTTCAGCAGACTCAAGCTGTTTAATCTAGCCATAATTTTTCTTTTTCGTGTTCATATATCAGAGATTAGCCAGGGAAAAGCCATTTAGGCTTCCTTAGCTTTTCAAAACTGCCTCTGACTTTTTTTTTTTTTTTTTAAGATGAAACTTGTTTTCTGGCAACAGAAGGATGACACAGAAACATTGTTTGTTTTCTTGCTTTTTTTCCCCTTTCCCCAAGGAACTCTGGTTCTTTTTTGTTGGTGGATATTGGGCAGGAAGTATCTGGATTGCCCTTACGTTCTGGCTGAGGCCAAAAGTACTGTTACTGCTACTGGTCTCTTTTAAGGAGAGATCTGGAAAAGATACTATTTTTAGGTTTATGAGTTCATATTGATTTTCTTTGTTGCTGCATCTTCTCCCCTTTTACTATGAGGTTTTACCAGATTCAAAGACCCCACTACACTAACAGGAAAGTGCTTTTTAAGCAAGATAACAAAACAATTAGAATTAGTAGATTTAAGAACAATTCATCTAGATTGGTGGTCAGTGGACCCATCCTAATCCAAATGTCAAAGGTCACCTGCAAAATGAGAATAAAATGGAAACAGTGCAGTAAGTTTTCCAAATTTAATTTGTTTAGTTTCTTGGTGTTACTTTCTTAAATTAAATGTAGGAGTATCAGTGGCAGGGTTTTTAAATATTTCCTTGTTAAAAAAATAAATCTTTTTTTGAATTTATTTTTTCAAGCTTTTTTGGATGTATTAATGTAAAAATTCAAAATTCAACCTTGAAAAGATCATGAATGCCTTTGGACCTCTGGAATTGTTAGAACCAGGAACCAGAAGTCCTGCTACTATGACATTTTATTTTTCAGGTAGACTTAGACTGGTCTTAACTATATGATGAAATCCAAGGCCTCAGTGACGATGTCATTTTACATCTTGTAATATCTATCACCAAACAGAAACTTGTCTCATTTGTGCAGAAGGGTTGTGATCAGCAAATTTGGTTAAGATGCCCATCTTGGATCATATACCAAAGACAGGGGGTTTGGCTCATGTAAGAACCTGGTACCTTCTTCTGATAGCATAGTAAGGTGGGTTGGGCAGTGTGGTTTCAAATAGAAGAGGGAAAACCATAGAATCCTACAATGAAAAAGATGTCCTTACTGGGCATGACAAAAAAAGATGATAGTCATCTTTCCGGTACTCATTTATTTCCTTTCTTCCTTTGTTCCAACCTTCATTGCTTTCTAAATGTTGTTGAGTGTATTAGTTTGCTGGGGCTAGCATAACAAAATACCACAGAGTAGGTGGCTTAAACAATAGAAATTTATTTTCTTATAGTTCCGGAAGCTGGAAGTCCAAGATCACAGTGTAGGCAGATTTGATTTCTCCTGAATCCTCTCTCTGTGGCTTGCAAATGGCTGCCTGCTTGCTGTGTCCTCACATCATTACCCCCCTGTCCATGTTGCTGGTGTCCTAGTATCCTCTTCTTAGAAGAACATTAGTATTGGATTGGGACCCACTCATGCAACTTTATTTAAATATAATTTCTTCCTTAAAGGACTTCTCTCCAGACACATCGCATTCTAAGGTACTGGGGGTTAGGACTTCAACATATGAATTTTGGATGAAAACAAGAATATAATATTGGCCAATGAAATTCTAAATATAAGACTAAAATTACTTAGACTAATTTAAAGCTGGATAAAATAGTACATTTTCACTATAAAACATTTTTTTTTAACCGAAGTATTCTTGACTTCCAGGTTAAGATTTTCTCATTTGGATAGCACTTAATAGACACTAATAATAGTGACTTTACCAAACCTCCCTTTTCTAAACTCTTTCTTTTCCACATTCAACTTGAATTATGCTTCTTTTCTTGCTTTAATATTCTATTTTGCATTTTCGAGGATGGCAGTTTATCTTTTGTTGCCTATATTTTATAACATCTTTTGATGCTATGTAAATATGCAACTTAGGCTATTCCTGCCACAGTGTATCATAAAACTGCCAGTAAACAGTTGATTTTTTTTATAGTTTAAATTACTAGTTACCTTATAATTAATTCAATGTAATATAATACAATGAGATAATGACTACTTGTAACTTTCATTAGTAGAAAGAATCCCTTAGACTTGGGGATATTTTTTACCTTTGAAACTATTGTGTTCTATTCACAGCTACCACATGATTTTAAAGTTTAGTAATGTTTAATTCTATTTTTTTTACAGTGAGAATAATTTATTTAAAAGTCACAGTGTCCTTTCTTTTTTTTCCCCCACAGTGTCCTTACTTTCAATTCCTAGAACTAAGGTGTTCAGTTTCCAATTGACAATATCACTGGGCTTTTTAAAATGAATATTTAGTTCTGTAAACATAAATAATTATGGTAACATTCACATCAATAGGGTAAGTGGTCTAAGATACAGTGTCATTTACTACATGCAGCATCATGTACATGTAGCATCATGTACAAAAATGTACTTCTGTTATTTCAATCTAGTCTCTAAATGTTAAATTATTGCTTTTTCTTAATATAGTTACCACCCTATCTATATACACAAATACACAAATTAGGACCTTATTCCTCCTTCAAGAATTCCTACCTCTGCACATCACTGTTTCCCCTCAAGACTTCTCAATATAACCTTCTGGTTTATTTTGCTATTTGCTCTCTGAAAGAAGGAAGGGAAGGGGAGGGGAGGGGAGGGAAGGGAGGGAAGGGGAGGGAAGGGAAGGGAAGGGAAGGGAAAAATGTAATCTAGCTCTGATGTTTATGGCATCATGAAAGTCAATAATTAATTTTTAATCTAATTGATGCTTATTTCTTCTGTTCATCCTTCCTAATCTTAAACATTGGGAAATGTTTAACTGGATATTCGCTTAATATCTCACAGTTGGCACTGTATACAAAATTTGTTTGAGAATTCATTAAATGTGTCAGAAGAAAGTTGTCAGATTTGAAAGATAAATATAAAAAAAAATAAGGTTTCAGTTCACAGACTTCTGTAAACTTGAAAAAACCTTTATATCCTCTTTAGCAGTTTTAGTGGAAGTTAAGATTTTTATAATAATTCTTGTAATATTTTATTGGACAGATAATGTTAAAGCCCATGGGATGGTCAAATAATTTCTGGGATTCAGCTAAAACTTTTCATTTCTAATTTTGAGTTCTTTTTTTGCTTCATGGCATCTGTATGTAGATATTTCCTCAATTTTCTCAGTGGTTTGGTCTCTAACTATTGATTTTGCTTTTCCTTTAGGATGTTTTGAATAATTTGGGATCTTGTGAACTGGATGAAGATGATCTAATGCTTGATCTAGAGTTTTTGGAGGAACAGAATCTTCATCCTTCGGGCAAGTGTTAAATAAATGCACGACATCATACAACTCTGATCCTAATCATTTAGCTTTCATTGATAAACTTTATATTGTTTAAGATGCATTCAGTCTTTTCCATCTCCAGTTTGTAGCTAGGTACCATTGACACATGATTCTGGTGATCTTAAAATCTAATATGGAAATATAAATCCAGTTGGAAGACAATTATAAAATAGGGAAAAATTAACCTATAAAGGCATTTCAAAGAAGGAAATTGTAATTTAACACATAGTGGAAAAGTTAATATTTCTCTTTTTGAGAGAAGAAAAAAACCATTACAATGCCATTTTTCATTTATTTTATATAACCAAGTGGAGGTTTTGTATATCAAGGTATACTCTTAAAAATCTTAACTGCTTCAATAATAGCCGCATAGGTTAATGTTAATGCAATAAGGTTGACCTCCCTCAAAATTAATAATTGCCAATAACAACCACAAACACATACTCGTGAACACATAAACACATAGTTATAGTATGAGATAAGTAAATTCTTGTTGAATGAATGAAGAAGGGAGCCCATTATATTTGTAATAGTTTAAATTTATATTAAAGGATACATTGTCATATCATCAAATACCAAAATTACTCCTGTTAAAGTAGGTTATAGGGATTAATTATTTATTCATATTTAGATATTTGGGTACAAAGACAAGCTGTTGCTTACTTTTTTTTTTCTTATATGTACATCTTTAATAGTCATTTTCAAATTAAAGTAGAAATAATATGAAGGTGCCTGGGTGTCTCAGTTGGTTAAGTGTCCAACTCTTGATTTTGGCTCTGGTCATGATCTCAGGGTCGTGGGGTCAAGCCTCACATCGGGCTCCATGCTGGGTGTGGAGCCTGCTTAAGATTCTGTCTCCTTCTCCCTCTGCCTCTCCCCCCCATCACTCTCTTTCTCTCCATTTCCTTCTTTCTCTCAAAAAATACTAAACTGGAGCTTTAAAATCTTGGTCTTGGGGCGCCCAGGTGGCCCAGTCATTAAGTGTCTGCCTTCGGCTCAGGTCATGATCCCAGGATCCTGGGATAGAGTCCTCCATCGGGCTCCCTGTTCAGCGGGAAGCCTGCTTCTCCCTCTCACACTCCCCCCCTCCCGCTTGTGTTCCCTCTCTCACTGTCAAATAAATAAATAAAATCTTAAAAAAAAATCTTGGTCTTACTGCATATATTTGAGAAAATCAACCTGTTGGATTTTAGCATCCATATTTTTAACTTTTAAGAATTAGACATAATCTCTAAGGTTATGTCCAGTTCCAATATTTTATAATGATTTTTTGTTCATGCAGTATTTTTATGTTATAGATAATGTCACATTAAAAATTGTGAAAGAAGGCCATGTTTATATTTTACATTTTACAATGTTTATATTTTACTACTCTATATTGTAGGCTAATATCCAAAGAAGCTACTTGAAAGTTTTTCTGGTTGAATACAAATTTAGGACAATCATTTTTTAAAACATTCTTGCTGCAGTTGATTTGACAGATAGTGTTTTAAAAATGCAGATTTTTTTCTCACCTTTATAGAGATATATTATACAATTTTATCATTCATGTGTATTTATCTTAGAAGAATTACATATAGTGAGAATGTACACCCTTTTGGAGGGAAATTGTCAATATTTAGCAAAGCTATACATGCATTTACCTTTAGATTGAAATATCCAACGTCTAGAAATTTAATCCTAAATACTGGAGGCATACATTATTTTGTATAGCTGCTTTGTATAGGGTGTGTTGTTGATGGAGAACTTTGCAATTTTGGTTTAGACTGGCAATATGTAAATCCACTAATCACTGACATCACTAAAATTGTAACAACTAAACATTTTTTCCCTCTTAATGCAATGCCCAGAGAAGTACACAGCACCACCACTCCTACTTACAAGTACTTAAATTTATTCAATTCTCTTGATTAAATTGTGATTTTACAGGAAATACTGGGATGAGGAGAGAGGGAATCCAGCAACCAAATAAGAATGTGAGGAGTTTTACAGGATAACAGTCTGGTTCCTTAAACAAGTAATTGACATGATAAAGAGGGGAGGGGTATTATAGATTAAAAGAGGCAAATGCAGTGTGACATCTTTGTTGGCACACTTACTGAAAAAATTAAAACAGTATAAAAATATATTTCTGGGTCAGTCAGAGAAATTTGAGAAATGACTAAATTATTACAGAATTATTTATTTTGTTGGGTATTGAATGTTTTTTTTTTTTTTTAAAGAAAACTTTAGAGAGAGGCTTGTGGTTGAAGCAATATAATATATGAGGTTTACTTTACCAACAAATATGGAAGAGGGAATGGATGAACAAAATTGAAAAGTTGTTGAAAATTTTCAAAGCTGAGCACTAGGTGTTTGGGGTGAAAGGTTCATTCATTAATTGTAATATTTTCTGGTTTTTGCATTTTTAAAGATATTCACAGTAAAAAATAAAACCAGGTAATAATTTAAAGAATTATAATGTAGCAATCTCAGTTATGTTTGGTAGGCAATCATGATGAAGAGCAAAGGGTGACTTAAAGATATAAATTTAGACCTAGCTCAATTTATTTGCTTGGGAACAAAACCAAGCATTTTAAAACTTTAATTTCATTTTTTATAAAGTAATGGGTGCTATGTACTTCATTAGTTTAGAGTAAGGAAAAAGATGATATACTAAAAACTGTAAATCTCCTGAGTCTACTTCAGGATATAGGTAGCTTGGTTGAAGCCAAAACTGGAATACCTCTTGAATCAACTGAGTTAACCAAATTTTTCATGAGGTAAATGATCTCACTTTGCCTGAAGTACAATTCTGATAATTGAAATATTCCTTAGAGTGACTTGGGTTTGTTTAATGTTACCTAATAAAATGTCTTTTGAAAACCTATTTCACTTTGGATGACACATTATAGGGTTTGAAAAAAGTCACAACTATCTGTTTATGGACATTAGCTCAGAAAGAAGAATTTCTGGTTGAATAGGTTTTATGCAATTTATATTTTTATTAAGCAACATAATTAAAGGTCTTCTCAAAATATAAGAAGCTCATTATTGATAATTGATATTGATAAAAAGCTCATTAATGCTAACCATTTTAAAATGATTTAAATAGAAGTGATTTTCAAAAGTCTGAAAACTAAAATAATGATACCATTAAATTCTATTACTTACATTACTAAAAATCATTTGAGGGTTCAAAAAAAGTTTGTTAGGGCAAAACATTTCAATTTTTGGTTCTAGAGTCTTATTAAGGCAAAGATTTATAGCATTTTACAGTAAGGCTTAATATAATGGCCAAGGTGATTTTTATAAAAGCCCAGAGAAATATTTTTGTTTTGAAAATATTTAGTCATATATATCTAGTAATTGTCATGTGTGATGTTTATAAATTTTATTCAGTTTAACATATAATTATTAATGGTTAAATTTGCAGAGATTGAAGAAATAACCATGTATAGAAAGTGTAGAATTTCTCCTGTCCTTTTTATCATAGTCATTTGCATATAGAAAATGCTCAGTTGTTCTCTGTTAATGTGCTTTTATTTAAAATATAGCTAGAAATCTTTGGCCATGTATGTAGTGAATAAAAATGGATTAAAAATAAAACAAAAATTAGTAAAGTTCAATCATTCTATTTTTTTCTATAGAAAAATCAAAGACCTTTAATTAGGAGATCTATTTTACTATACAGTGTTTGAAACTATGAAATTAAAAAAAATTTCCTCGCATTTCCTTCAACATGTATACATTGGACATTGCTCATTTTGAGTCATTTAACATATGAAGAGACATGCTAATGGACATAGAATGCATAATAAGTGTACATAGTTAATATTCATATAATATGCATCATTGTTAGTTATGTACTACTTGCAGTATAAGGGATATGAGCTAAAGTATATCAACTAGGCAATTAAAATATCAGAATAGCACAAACAAAGCAGAAAAAAAAACAATTCGAGTTGTGTGGCTCAAGGTGTTTGTCATAGAAATGTCCACCTACTTGCACAATTGGATGTATATCTAGGTATTTCATCATGTTGTTAAAAATTTTGCACTTATGACCATACCTACCTTGGCAGAGATAGCTGTTGATTATTGTGGTCATAACAATTTTGGAAATCTTTTAATATGCTTTTTTTAAATTCTTTGCTATCTGTATTTTCATCTTAAAGGGGAATTGTACATTTACAGTTAGGTTTTAAAGTTTGTTTTTGACCAGTGCAGTGGACAATTTGAGTACAGTTCCACAAATCCTTTTAATATGTAAATGTATCTATGGAGTCCTAAATTAACACATTCCTTTTCTAAAGGGAGAGGTAGTACAAATAATATAGTACAAATGAATATCTGTTTTATGGTACAGTAAGTGGATATTATTATTATTAATGAAAGTAAGAAAGGACAATTTCAGTGAGGGAAAGGTATATGAATTCAAAGTGAGTTCTCAAAAGGAGACTTGCCTTGGGGACAAAAAATAAAAGCAACTATTCTGAATAATTTACTTTTGAGCTTGGCATTAACTAATTTTATCTTTGCAAATTCTAATATAAAAGCTAAGCTTTTAGATTAAAAATCCTATGGATAAGACTTCCAGATGTCTTTAATCATATTTTTCTTGAATAAATGCTTAAATGACTTTTCTGGATAATATTTTCAATAAATAATTAATATGCATTGTGTTTCAAATACAGGATTATCAATTTGTTTAATGCAAGACATTCATTTCCCCTGTGGTAAAATATTGTATTTATTGCTTTTTACTTAATAAATCACTTATAATGCATACATGACCAAACACAGTTTTGATTAAAAAAATAGGAGATGCTATCTTTTATACCTTGATAAATTAAAAAATATATTTGTGACCCTTCTCACTTTTTATATTTCTCTTTACTCTCTTATTCATGTATGGTGTTTTTGCCACAAATTGAATCATGCAAGATTTTAGCAGTGATGTTCTTTAGATATACCTCAATAGTATTTTGGGG